CCTAATGTATATAACTAGTCTGCTTCTGACACTATTCATATTGGTCTCAAGATACCTTTAGTAAAATACTTGGAGATAAATTGCAAGCTACGTGAAAAAAACTTCTACTTCATTCATTTAAAATCTGAACATATTCCAGTTTCATCACCTGTACAAGCTCTTTTCATGAGACAAGATGATTATCAGAATCTGAAATACCTTCACTGAAGTTTCCTTCATAGAATGTATTTCTACAATATCTTCTTTTACTTATGTCACACATGACAAAAATTCAAACTTGTCAGTAGTTAACACTTCAAAAAGGTTTTCTTTCTCCTGGAAAACTGTTACAACAGATTATAAGGACTTAGTAAAAAACATGTTGAAGAGAGAGAGAAAAAAAGGATTACACACTTAACAGCTTGAATTTTCTTGTTCTTAAAAATTTAAAGGGCGGATAAAACGTGTTTTGAGCCAATTGAACAGCTAGAGTGAAAGTGTCTCTTGAACACCTGGAATCACAGCTGCCGAAGCAATGTTCGTAAGGGGCACCATATAACCTCTTACAGCCAGCCAGTGAAGAGGCCAGTAGGAGAGGATTAAATCTGCCGTGTTCAGATCTGTACCTTTCCAAACCTCTGAGGTGATCTCAGAAATAATGAAAATTTTACACTTCTTAAATCAAGGTCAGCTCTATTCTGAGCCAATCACCCTCGTCTTAGATTTCTGCTCATTCAGACTATATGTTACCTCTGTATTACAGACGAGATGTCACCGGTATTTCTCTTGCAGTAGGCAGATTGGTAGAAAATACTCAGAAAAAAAAATCAGTGTGATCATTATGTTCTTACCTTTTTTGAATACAAAAAAAACACATACTCTGACCATTTTCTCAGAGGTTTATTTAATATATAGTCTGGTCTCTCTGCATTCTCCAGTAGGTCCTTTTGCAAAGAAGAAATTTTATGCAGAAAAATAAGACACCATGTTTGTTTACGTTAAGTCCTGTGACCTGGGCAAACACATTATCTGTTTTGAGGTGGTAATCTACAGTTTATATGGCATGCAATAAAAGCTCTCATGTAAATTGGGGAGTGGTAAAATTATGACACTTTCTGAGGTTCCTTACAAGTTGTCCAAGAACCAGGAGAGTTAAGTCCTCTGAGGTAGGTGCTCTTATGCTGTCAAGGCCACCCCCATGCCCACACCTTGTCCACAAATCTGGCCTTAGACTTCAAAAAAATGAGATTGCTTTATGAGTCTGGAAAAAACTTCAGGGTGAAAGTTTAATTTCCTCTCAATCAGGGCCATATCTTGCTTACCACATCACCCACAGTTTAAGTTCTTCATAGGAGGGCAGCTTGTGATTTGTTTATGTGTGAAGTACAACACACATTCAAAACATGGTCAGAACAGCCTGATGCTCACAGTGATGTCTCACAGGAACATAGCTTCAGCTTACATAATCGTTAATACTTTGAACTTACTTATTTTCAAAGCATTACTCCATGGCCTCATTTTCTACAGTTTTCAGTGGCAGGACAAAACTCACCCTCATTTAAGCTGGCCATCTTCAGTTCACTTTACAGAGAAATACTCATTTTTAGGGCACAACTTACCCATTTTAATTTAAATAACTGCTTCAGGGTGAGAAAAAAAGGAAGCTGTTTTTTTATTTGCTTTAGTAGGAAATATTCTTCTCCACTGACTATAAGAGGTCTCTGATAAGTAGTCTGGATGTAGAAGTTTATAGTATAGGCATTTAAAATCAGTTAAATGAATCAGTTACTGAAGTCAGGTTAAGTTCCTGTTATTAATACCTGCACTGGAAACAAAGACTGAGCACTAAGATGGTCCAATAGTCCTATTGATTGGAATACACCTTTTCCTTTTTTGGGGGGGAGTATGAGGCAGCATTTAAGGAACTTATTCCCTCAAGACAGCTAGATCTTAGATCTTTTATCTAATTTCTTTCTCATGGGGAAAATTCGTTGAGTTTGGTAAGAGGACCAGGAAGATACAACTTCCAGTCTAGTTTGGTTTCCAGAGCTTTGAATGGCATAGACAAGGCCGTCAGTGGTTTGGAACCTTTTCTGATTTCAACTTAAAGATTTTATTTTCCTGTCTTTTGCTGTTTTATGTCATTGACAGCACATTTTGTGACAGGTTTCAAACAAAATATTTAGGGAGTAGGTTTTGGGGTCTTTTCTTACCTTTACTTTTGGAAACATTTCTAAACCAAAGCTATACTTCCACATAAATAATAACTGTAAGAAGACAATAGCTTTTGATCTGAGACACAAAAGCAGCTTAATATAAAAGAAAACCCTTCAGTGGCTCAGCAGATGCTAATCTTGAAAAGGGCTTAAACCCTTCGCAGTTTCCACAACTATTCAAACAAATTCTTAGAAAAACAGTAACATCAAGTTACAGCTGAGGTCCTGGGCTCTGTTCTTTGAAATTGAGAGAGTCTCGGCAGCTTTCAGGCACCTCCAGTTTTTTATCTATTTCTGCTCTGTCTATATACCTTGGTGGCCTGCAGGGAAGAGGTTAGGCACTCCCAGAGCAATGAGGCAATTAATGTTAGACTGTTGGGTAAGGTTCCCTTGCAGCTCAGTTCCTGCTGCTACACTTCATGGTTCTTCTTGAGTCTCCTCTGGAGCTCCAGTGTACTCTGAGATATAGTGGGCTTGGGACATGGTGAGGTGCGGTCTGAAATATCCAAACCAAGAAGAGAGACAAGTTATAGCTTGCTGGAGCACCTCCTGTGCAGAACCTCACTGAAGATGGATGTGACATGTCCTGGGGCACGGTGAATGTGATCTCTGGGAGAAAGTGTGGGAGCGAACACCCATTAACCTTACTGGAGTCGGGACATCTTTCAGTTCCCAGGAGTGGTGCCAGAGTTTCAGGCATTGGCTGAGATTTCTATGCCTTTATTTTCTGTGCTTTTAATCTGGCATCCAAATAGAGACAGAGAAATTAGAAGTAAATTAGAAAAAGCTAGAAGATCTTAAATATGTGAAACACAAAATATTGGCTGTGGCATTTTACTGCTGGTTTTACTGCTGGTTTCTATCAAGCCGAGCTATAAGTCTTCACAGTGACAGAGTTTTTCAAAAGCCAGTTAAACTTTCCAAGCTCCAGGACAGGATGCAGTTTGGCCTAAGTTCTTGTCTTTTATTCAAAAAATCTGGACTTGATTATAATTGCCTTTTTTACTGCCTACCAAAGAGAAGCTGCCTTCAGCTCTCCACACAGTCATGTAAGGGCTGTCATGATGCACTTTTGCCACTGTTTCTGCAAGAGGATGGCTACCATGAGGGTGGAAACACCCTTGTCCCTGTTGTCCCACCACGAGGGCCTGGCTCAAAGAGCAGGATGCACAGGATGGGGAAGGAAGAAAGGAAGCAGGTGCGAAGTAAATTGTTTCTGACCTATTTCCTGTCATGCAAATGCTGCTACAACTAACACGACACTCCGGAGCGATGCCAGTGTCTGAAAGTCATCTGTTGTGTAGATAAAGGCATTACTGGATCATAAATTAAAGAAGATCAGAGGTAGAAAAATATAGCCAAAACATATAAATTATGCCTCCTCCTCTATTTTAATTTTTCCTTTCAGATCTAGAAGAGAACTTTATTTCTATATTAGGTTTCCTGGCATCTTCCTGTGGGGTGTATGTATGCATTCTCAGCACAGCCTGCTCTCTTTCCTACAAAAACTGTAGCAAATGCCACCTTGCTGACAGGGCTGTACAAAGTTCTTCAGAAGGGCATTGAAGGGATAATAAACGATCTACATCAAATTTGCATTTTTTCCAAACTGTGGCAGATGGCAGCATCATCCCATTTTGCATAGGCTCGTTTTTCTCTCATACTTTCTGCTGCTCACATCAGAAAATGCTTTGCTTATGGTTTGCTGCCTGCTGTGATTCATTTGGGTAAATTAATCCCTGTCACGTAAATTATATTAGTTTTTCAAAATCTGTTTATGAAGTCTGTAATCAGTTTTTTCCATTCACTGAGAAGCCCTCAGTTAAAATACCTATGCTTCAGATTTCCTTCTTTGTCAAAAGTATCTGACACCATCCAGAGAGGTAAACCATAGCATGCAAAGAGAAAAGCGGAGCAGTGATGAATGCTGTCCAATGGTTTCATAGCTAAAGATAAATCCTCTCTTCAGGTGCTTTCAAAATCCAGTTCTTGTCTGGCTGCTTTTGCTAAGACTCAACTCTGACTGAGACATGATGATAGTCACTCGCACTGATTTCCAATGAAGGCTTTTGTTGTGATTATTCACATTCCATGAGATAAGAAGGACAAATTAACCATACATAACCTGACCAGAATTATGCACTAGTTTTGCAGCTGGCTGATAAAGCAAATGAGTGTGCCTCCCTGCCCATTCTGGAGACTTCCTGCAGAACCGTTCCCAAGCAGGTTCTGTTGCACTGTTCTACAGGTTTCCCACTTCCGGCCGCATTACTTCCTAGCATACCAGTGTCAAGACATTTGCTCATTTGCTGCATCTGCATCATGAGCTAGCCCACATGCAAGTCTCCATACTCTTGATTTTCCAGTTGCTCAGAAAGTCTGGATAGAGAGCTTGGACCTGTCTGGTTTGGCTCCCAAAAGGTCATGATACATATTAAATGAACAGCTACAAATCACCTAATGTCAGAAGCTGTAGTTTGTTCATGTTTTTATGATCCCTATCTGGCAGACATGAAATCAAAATATGATCCATATTTTATTTCCTTGGTAAGTAAAGATTCTGTGCTTTTTACCTTATTGACTGAATGTTCCTTTCTTTTCAGACATCTCTTTCCTTTTTAGAATTAACTTTTTTACCAAGTTTTCAGTAAGTCTGAGTAGACACCAACAAGGGTTCTAATTAGTACAATGGGGATCTAAAACATCCATGTTTCTTCATAGATACAAAATTCTGTTTCAGAAAGTTATTTTTAATACTTGCTACTTAACTATCAATCACATCTTCTCAACATTCCCCTCCTGCAGGTGCTGGAGAGTCAGGAAAGAGCACTATTGTAAAGCAAATGAAGTAAGTACATGAATATTCATACCAGCTGTCGAATTTTGCATTTGTAGTATAAGCTATGTAGCTAATGTCTTATTACAATATTTATGCTCGTTTGAATAAAATGCAAAGAAACATCATTCAAATCAAGTTCTCATTCAACCACATAAAGAAAAATACAAAGGGACTATGAGACATGGCTGGACTGATAATCAGATCTGTCTAATCAAATTGTGCACTGGTCCAACTTCTTGCTAAAGATCAGGGAAGCTTCCTCCTTGGCTTTGGTAGGAGTTACAGTACTGTAGTGAGAACATGAATGCATGAGACAACCAGGCACAGCAGATCCACCTAGCCTGGTGTCCTGTCTCCTGCAGTATCTAATGAAGGGTGCTTACAGAAGATTATCAGACCAGACAAGCAAACACACAGTAATACTTGCATTGGATAATCTGATAGTATCTGCTGATCTGTGGCTCAGGTACCACCCTGAACCAGATATCATCACTGTATTCTGTGGCCCTCAGCCTCAACACTCATGCCTACATTTCTCCTGGATCTTTTCTGAACTAGTGTGAACTAATAACATCCACAATATTCTACGGCAGGTAGCTCCATAATTTAATTACATATGATGTGATTCATCTTCCTTTGTTAAATATTAATTTGTTCCTTATTAATTTCATTTGATTTCACTGTATTGCAAGAGAAAATACTGAAGCATTCACATTGTATAATAGGGCAAAGTCTGTTTGTTGAGGTGTTGTTTTATTTTCCAACTGGTCTCTGTAGATCATTCTTGGTTGCCAGAGGTTACAAAGATTGTTCTCAGGTCTCCCACAGGCAACGTGTGAACATATATAGCCACCAGCCTACACACTGAGCAGCTGTTACCCACCACCTAGCATGAGAAGTGACAGTCACAAGAACTGCTTTTAGCAAGGAAAGCATCACCCTAAAAAGTTTTCATACAATCATCAATCAGGGGAAAACCAGGTTGTACAAGCTGAAATGCAGAAATCCCTGTTCAGATTCGGACTGAGTACCTGGTTGCAAATAGCTTGTGACTGCACCATAAACCTACTGCATGAATACCTGTAGATGTTCGCCCAAAGTGCACTTAGTGCCACACAGATTGAAGCTATTAGCTTTATTTGCCTGGCTTCTAAGGAAGGTCAAATCTGCCCTTTTACAATTGTCTTTTTACAATTTACTATCACAATATTTTCACATATAGTCAAACAGGCTAAAATTAAAGTAATTAATGTTAGTCTTTCAAGGGTAGCCAAAATACTACTCGTGTACCTGGTTTAACAGGTAGCCCATCTTCAAGAGATTATACTTACACAGGCAGCAAAGATCCTCCTTTACTGTGTAACCTGCTGAAATATTGCTGTTGTATCTAGCACTGTTTTCATATACAGTGTCCAGGTCTGTTTCCTATACCTGTCCAAGTAGACTGTTTTATGAAATCAGTAATACTATTCCAAATTTAAGCTCTCTTAACTTTCTTATGTCTTCACAAATGCATTTTAAAGAGTTAAGTAAAAGATGTTGTGTCATAAGACCAATTTTTTATATAAGCAGTTCAATTTGTAGTAAGACAGATACAGAACCATCCATCAAATTCTTTACTAACATCTTCTATTCCAGTTCAAGGGTGGATTATTTTGTCTCTGATAGTGTTCCAATCAGGGGACATTCCCTATTCAGACAGCCACTGAAATGCACTGTGTTCAAAGCTTCCCCACGTAGGAGCAGATTAAAGATGTTCTTCTGAATTATACACTCTAAGAAGACTTATAATGTTAACATCAGTGAGGAAGGGGCAGAAAACTGCAAAGCTGAGTGTTATCTTTAAAGCCCTGTGCATTTATGAGCTGTCAACCTGATCACAAATATGAATTATTTTACTGGAAAACTGTTAATGAAAATTAAAATTTTTCATATAAAATGTCATCTTCTGTCATGATGAGGGACATTTTTCCAAAAAAAAATGAGATTTTTCAGTAAAAAACCAATTTCAGTTATTATTTTTTATTAAAATATAACATTTTCTAAAGAAGACTGATAGCTGCTTACAGAAGCAATAATTTTGCTGAAAATACAACTTAACTTTCTGCCAAAATCAGGGTAATTTTACTCCTATTATTATAATTTTCTAATTCATAAACCTCATTCTTTCCAGACTGAAGACTTCAATCAAAGTTAAATCCTTCCACTTAGCTTTGCACACTGTTTTCTGATGCTCAAAATACAGACATGCTGCAAGGCCCTAAAAAAGTTTGGATGGCTATGAGACATAACTGAAAAGGGAAAAAAAGAAAAGCTTCTCTGGAGCTTTGTACCTCTGACTAGATAATTTCCAAGGTGCAATCTAACTGTTTTGAAGCCAAGTTGAGTATTTCTATGCTATGCTGTAAGATAGTGCCTCAAACCTACCACAAACAATTCAGCGAATGAAGAGTAGGACCCAAAATATATGACAACTCATCATGCCTGTTGTGACTGAATCATCTCTACCTATCTGGTGAGAAGTCCTCCCTTCATGAAAGACAAAACAAAACAAGAGACTGCTGTCCAGTGTAGAAACACAATTTAGATGTTATGACTTGTAGCCTATCACCTCATGCCTTCAGCATCCTGCATTAACTTTTTTAAGTTGTTCATTTTTTCAAGGAGCATCAAGGAACAAAATTTTCCATCTGCTAAAATGCTCCTTCTGGCCTTAAAAGGTGTCAGCCTGCTTTACAATCCTTCCTTAAGAATGACAGATCTTTAATAAAAGCAGTAAAATTCCCTGTTGATTTAAAAGGCAGGTGAACATACCTTCCTCCAGAAGACGTAAATACAGTAGTTAAAACAAGTACCTAAAAGCAAAAAAAACCCTACCATAGAAAACAAAAACAACATGAAAATACTCAAGCAAAACCAAGTTTTCTCTCTGCAATTACCAAATCTAGTTTTATTTCAGGATCTTATATTTTCTTCCTTTGTTCTTCAAAGGAAAAGAATGAAGATATAAAATAGCCATTTATGTACTGTTTCAGGGCCTTTCTTTCTCTTGCGTTCCAGATTTTGCATCCAAAGGGAAAACACCTATCCTCCCCAGAAATCGTTTTATGGCCACCAGTGTGAGATACACAAAGTAGTTAACCCAAGTTCAAATAATTCCTGGGGTTTGATTTTCTATATATTTCATTCCATTATTTATAGAAAAACTGCTTCATTTACAGGTAGTAAGGGGAAGAGTGACAAGAATATGCTGAAGTACCAGTGCAAAGGTACCAGACTGCATAACGTGTCCCCTTTTTCTTTGTCAAGTTCAATAGGATTCCTTTGAATCTTGCAGTTTCATTTGAAATTGTGATGAAAACAACATTCAAAAAATCAAAGCTTCAAAGCAGAGTTTATAGATTTGCCTGGTCTAAAAGTGAATGGGGAAACATGAACAATTTTTTTCCTACAGATGCTATTCTTACAGACACAAGAATGAAACTTGCGTTTTCTGACATTCATAAGTTACAAAGATGTTAAGACATGCTGAGTTTGATCTGGGTTTTAGATGTGTGTGGGGGAACAACTTCTTTTCTGACAGGGCTGACTTCTCCCCCTGAAGGGAAAGTCTCCCCAAGACACACACCTATACTTATTCTGGGCTAACCTATCAGATCCTTTCACATCAACCCTTTATACTTGTATAGCTCTGTCCAGACTGTATCCCTGGCAAGAGACAAGGAAAAACCCAAACTCCAAACCCCAGAAATTATTTACGCAATTATCTGTCCTTCATCTCTGAATAACTGAAGTGAGGAAGAACAATCCCATGGTTCCAGCAGGAGTCAAAGCCCTTTGGGTGTATGTTCATTCATAGAATCATAGAATGGTTTGGGTTGGAAAGGATTTTAAGATCACCTAGTTCAATATCCCATGGGCAGGGACACCACACACACAAAACCATGTCGCCAGTTTGTCACTGAGTGTACGCTACTCCAAAATGGGTAAAGTTTCCATCCTTTTTCACAAGTTAAGGAAAAAGATATCTTTCAGTCATGGTATATTCTGCACACTGATCTTGGAGAACTTTAACCACATGCCCTTTTCCAGTCAAGGAGGATTATGAAATTATAATTCCTCTGTCAGATGAATTTGCTATGACTGCTAAGGCTCATTGTCATCTGTAATACAGGCTATATTCTCTGGAGTAACATGCATGTCCCCAAAACCTGTAGATAACAGTAACACCTTTCAGTAACTAGAAATAGTAGCTGATACACAAAGAAATATTAAAGATTTTTTTGTTTGTTTTCTTTAGGATTTTATTCTATGTAAGATTCTGGATAAAAATGATTAAATAAGCAATGTCACAGCCCATGACTAACATTGTACATTCTAATAACAACCTCATGAATTTAACCTGACATAACTGTGGAAAATGCTGTTTACCTGTTCCAGCAGAAAAGGCAGATCAGCCATTGATAAAAGCTTTTTCAAGGGCCAGACAGATGCAGTTCTTTCTCACACTGACCACAAAAGCAAAAGTTTTCATTATTGTTTTTAATACATCTCTTAAACCTAATGTTTTCTATTTTTGCACCAGGATCATCCATAAACATGGTTTCACCCACGAGGAACGCATGGAGTTCAGACCTGTCGTTTACAGTAACACAGTGCAGTCTATCCTGTCTATCGTGAAAGCAATGACTAAGTTAGGAATCAGTTACGAAAACCCAGCTAGACTTGTGAGTATGACACCCTTTCTCTTAAAATTGGCATTAGAATGCAGTTTCTGTAATATAATAGTAGAGACTATAAAGCAAAGAGGGTTCATATTGGCTTTGTGACAGCAGAAAGTAAGTATTGTTTGAATTACACGTGACAAGAGGCCCTAACTGATTTTTATTTTCTCAAGGCTGATGCCTGAGGTCAAACCTTTGCATGAACTGCCATTTTAGTTGTTATAAAAGAAATATTCAACTTGCAAAGACAAGAAAGAAGGCAGGCAGGCAGGCAGGCAGGCAGGCAGAAAGAAAGAAAGAAAGAAAGAAAGAAAGAAAGAAAGAAAGAAAGAAAGAAAGAAAGAAAGAAAGAAGGAAAGAGAAAGAAAGAAAGAAAGAGAAAGAAAGAAAGAAAGAAAAAGAAAGAAAGAGAAAGAAAGAGAGAAAAAAACAAAGAAAGGGAGAAAAAAAGAAAGAAAGAAAAAGAAAGAGAACCTTTGCTTAGCTCCTTAGTCACTTATTTATTGCTATTGGGAAATATAATAAATATTTTCCTTTTATGAACAAGCCTTGGGGCTCAGCCATGTAAGGACGGGTCATCCAGACATGTTGGGAATATTTCAGTTTGGCATTGCTCCTGGATCAGATACCTCCCTGGTGTACGGATGCAGCACTAGCCCATTGCAATAACGTGGAGTCTGACCTTCCTAATAGAGTTAGCAAGCCTATGCACAAGCACATAGCGGAAAAGCCATAGTCAGAAGACCTGCTGTTCTCTGACAATCACACTGAATTTTCAGGGACAGAAGTAAAGGAAAAGCATGTACTTCTCAGTGTAATGATTTAATCTATTACTCGTAATTCAAACCTTGCTGAGAATTTGTCAGAATATCAGCCGGTTCCAGTTTTGGTAAATTCTGCCTATTCCCTAGAGGTTTACCTTAGAGGGAATTAAATCTGCTTAACTGAAAGAGATTTTTCTGTTCCAGAAGTCTACATTTCATTACAATGACATGTGGTACTTTGACCTATACAATTATACAGGAATGTTTCAGATGTTACTAAAGCTCTTACAGTTGTTCCACAAAATAGAAATTGAGTATTTTCTCCCTGTATTCTCTTAAGTGTCCGTGAATGCAAGTCATTCAAACAAGTGCAACAGTGGTCAAAAGCAGCATACAGAAAATATGCCCATGTGAATGTATTGCAGCTCGGCCCCTCTCCTCAATTGAGGTAGACTGATACATTGCACAAGGTCCCATACACCAGTCTACATGGCCTAAGGCAGCTGAACCTTGAAGCACCTAGCCGCAGCTCTTGGCTCATCCCCTAATATCCACTGTGTAGTCCAGACTGTCTGCCATCTGTAATTGAGGTATTCTGCCTGTGCTCGAGTACTTCAGCCTCTTTTCTCAGCCCTGCTAAACTTTCTAAGAGGCTTATACATGTTCACACACTGTCTATCATCTATACCAGTTTCATAGACATTATTTTCAAGGGATTTCACAGCCTGAGGAACTGGGAATTGGATTTATTTTTTTTTTTTTGTTAAATAGCTCAGTTCATTTCCACAGTTGTTGCCTTTTGCACAGCGATCAATGAACATTTACTGTGTACCTGGAGGCTCTGAGCTCAAGGTTTCTTGTTGTAGGCTATTCAACCAACAAATTCAACACTGTGGGACGATAGCTATAATCATTACGTGATATGCGATATCTAGAAGGAGAGAATGTTCCAACCCTTATCTTATAGAATCATAGAATAGTTAGGGTTGGAAAGGGCCATAAGATCATCAAGTTCCAACCCCCCTTCCATGGGCAGGGACACCTTGCTCTAAACCATATCACCCAAGGCCTCATCCAACCTGGCCTTGAACACTTCCAGGGATGGAGCATTCACAACCTCCCTGGGCAACCCATTCCAGTGCCTCACCACCCTAACAGGAAAGAATTTCCTCCTTATATCCAATCTAAACTTCCCCTGTTTAAGTTTGAACCCATTACCCCTTGTCCTATCACTACAGTCCCTAATGAAGGTTCCCTCCCCAGCCCTATAGGCCCCCTTCAGATACTAGAAGGCTGCTATGAGGTCTCCACGCAGCCTTCTCTTCTCTAGGCTGAACAGTCCCAGCTTTCTCAGCCAATCTTCATATGGGAGGTGCTCCAGTCCCTTGACCATTCTCGTGGCCCTTCTCTGGACTTGTTCCAACAGTTCCATGTCCTTTTTATGTTGAGGACACCAGAACTGTACACAATACTCCAAGTGAGGTCTCACGAGAGCAGAATCTTCAAGAAGTGTGTGCCATTGTGAGCAGCCCTTGAGACAGATGTGGGGTGCACAGGAGAAACCATGACTCAGTTCTGCTTATCTTGCCACTCAGTGAGCTGATGGGGTGTAAACACAGCCAGTGTTGTTTAATGTAGAAGGGCAACTGTATGGCTGCTCACCTTCCTTTTTCAAGTAAAGGCAACTACTTAGTCATTATTGTCCTCCCCCTTTTTCTTTTTATCCATGACAACTCAATTTCCGCAATATTTTAGAAAACCTGCAGCATTTCAGTTTTGATCAGTCTCTGGGCTTTACAAAGTTTCCATAAACTGCAATTTCCACAGAAAGATAAAGATACAGAACATTCCCAAAATAAATTTGTTACAAATTATTTTGAAGATGTTGCCTATTTTTGTATAAAACATACTCCCTGCCAAAACAGTGTCTGTCAGAATCCATTTATACTTTTGCAGCTATTGACTGCAAGTCACTTCATTTGTCTACACATACAGCTAGGAAGGAATTACATTCTATAATTATCCACTGCTGTGACAGTGTATCAAATGACCCTATTTTAATAGTGTTTTTAATTTACAGTACATTCTTAAACTGTTAAACACCGAAAGACATTTTAATGTAATAGGTTGCCTGAAGTCTTTTTGGATTACTGCAAAAGGAAAAAAATACAGAATAAAACGTTAAAATTATTTAGGATTTTATACAGTTACATGTTTCTTCATTCCCAAATAAAAGAACATATGGGAAATGCATTCATTATTTATGTTCATTTTGCCACATTTTTCGCTGTGGCCAGAAGCCATAAATTTTATCTTCTAAATTTATTAATTAGCTGTATTTAGCTATATATTTCTGCTTTGATGTACTTCGGTTTAACCTTTAAATATCCTTTTTAATTTAGTTTTTGATATCCATCTACTTTCTCTCACAATAAATGCATTCCATCCAAGTTGGACTTTCTGTGAACTCATGGTAAGATAAAACTAAGCCCTTGTATGAACAAAAACAAGAGCTAAACTCTGTGTATCACAATTTAAGTGTAATCCTGGCACTAACTAAAAGGGAGTGAGCTTGTAAAAGGATGTTTACATGCACAGGCAAGTACAGGTACCTAGAAAAATTAGTGAAAATGAGAAATTTTGCCCCTGCAACTCATTGTAAACCATGCACATCTTCAAGGAGGTGGAGGAGCACAGTCTGCTTACACAATACTTACTGAAATTTCCCTTTAGGAAGATGAAAGGAAGCTGTGTACCATAGCAACAACTCTGGAGGATGGCGACATGTCTTCTGAGTTGGTTGAACTCATCAGACAGCTGTGGAGTGATGGTGGGATCCAGGCCTGCTTCGCAAGGGCAGCGGAGTACCAGCTCAATGACTCGGCAGCCTAGTAGGTGACAACAGCTGAGGTGGTCACTACCATGACAACATAGGAAGGCTTGTGACATTCCTCACATGCAGAATAGCCTACAGAAATTGCTGCCCATTAACCTGAAAAAGAATGAGGGTTTTTTTGGCTAATGTTTATAATAGAAACATTTAACTGAAGGAAACCAGTTGAAACAAGGAAAATTTTTTTTCAGTGAGTTTGCTTAAGCTGTAAAAAAAAAAAACAAAACACCCCAAAACCTGTTCTCTTGCCATAAGATTGACAAAATGAGGCAAAAAGTGAATTGAAACAGCTTAGGTTTTACCTAGAGTTGTCCTGGGAATGTATGAATTTCAAGCTGCTAAACATGCATCTGGAAAAAAACTAAAAACTTTCTTCTAAACTAATTTGGCTGCATGAGTGGGTATCCTCTGGGCTGTTACCATCTCAGCATCCAGCTGGTGTTTGCCAGCCATGCTGCAGCCACTCTCCAACCTGACAGCCCTCTTTCTGCAGCCTGGGAGGTGGCAGGCAGATAAACAGGGGACTAAGGCTGCTCAGCTTTGGCTTCACTAAAGGTCACCATTCAGCTGGGGTATATATCCTAGTTTACATGGAGTCAGTAAGCTTAGACTTTTCAAGATTTCCTGGTTTGGTTGCTCCTACAGCTGTTCTTGCAGGCTACAGCAGTCCTGCTCTGGTGTTCTCTCCCTCAGCTCATACAGGACGGAGCAGGGAGGTGTCACCTACATCAGTTTTCCTTGAGTACACAACAGTGAGTCTGACTCTAACCTGGGGCAGAGGTTGTTCCAGCTCAGGACCATATTCCAAGGTCTGCAGTTGGAGGTTTCCCTGCTCCTGCAGCTCCTCCTACAGGCTGAGGGCACCATACCAGATGTTGGGTGTCCTGTTCAGTAGTGAAATGCGTAGTCGAAGAACGGGCTAGGAGCCCTGGGTGCTGAAGGCAGCGATAGCTCACTAACAGCAGATACTAGAAGAGCTTCCATGAAAAAATGGGCTATATTATTATTATATGGGCTGTTGTATTAATATTATATATTAATATTATATAGGCTATATGAAAATATGAGCTACATATCTAGAAGGGCTATACCATGAAAATATTAAAAATTCTTCATCTCTTTATATCTTCAAAACAAGAATGAAGACCATTATGCAAGATAGCTGAGCAAAGGAAATATTGCCTGTGTTGATTTGTGCCTGACTTGGCAGTATTTCTATAGGAATGGCACAGAGCAATCTTTTGTTTCCTTTCTGAATGGCCACACTGCTGTTCCCAGCACTAAAATCCTCAAACAAGTCAATCATCATAATTAAAAGGAAAAATACTTATTGAAATAAAAAATACAAACACAAACAAAAAAAAACAACAAAAACCCCTAATATAGCAAAATATATATATTGCCTGCATATATATATACATATATATACATGTGCATATATATATATATATATACATTCTAGTATACTGTGTCTTCCAGATTAGGTCTTGTTGCCTAAAAAAGAAAATAAGATAGTCTAAGGTAATTCCTTCTCAGTGTTATGGGGTGTGCCTTTTAACCTGCAGTGGTTTTCAGAATTTAAGGGAGCTCATATAGACTGTGAAGTAGACAGTAATCATTATTTATTGCTGGTCACGTTAGAAATAACAGTGATATGTTTTTCATCTCTCTGAACTCTTCCGAAAATCCTGCTAATCCTTTGTCTTCACTTCATAGCCAATGCTTCAGAAAATGTAGCCTTAGGCTCTGAACCATTAAAATCAACTTAATTTATGCTCCTGCTGCTAGGCTTCTAACGATCAGTGCATAACCTGCTATAGTCAGTCAAGAATCCAGTGTTACATTTCCATTTCTTTCAAAACTAGACTCCTGTTTCTCAGTCCCGTGAATCAGCTCCTACACAGAGTACTGAATTATAACTGTATAAACTCTGATTTTCTGAAGGTTATCTTCTCTGAGTCTTTTCATTATTAATTCATGCTAATGAAGTAGAATCACTGTCTTTCCTCTGGGTGTTTTAATTGAAAAAAATGAGATCTTCTGAATAGAAAATCCCCTGTATGTCAACTGTAGTTGGTATTTCTTCCTTAGACTCACATAGAATTAATCATCTTCTAAAACAGAGTGATGGGTAAGGAAGGGGAAAAATCAGGATTATAAACCATGTCATTGCATAGTTACCAGTAGTACTTCTGTTTGCTGGCTTGCTTCTTGCTTGTTCTCTTCTTGCTTGCTCAGTCATTTGCCTCTCTCAGAGCAAGTCTTACCACCTGAATCAAACCAAGGAAACCATTTAAAGTAACCCACTAGTTTGTGTTCCCTCTTTTGTCAGTGGAGAGCCAGATTGCAGATCATTCCCTTAGAGCTGCCTACAGCTCTAAGAAGAATCTGAAGATGCCTCTCTCGCTCCATTAACTAGAAAATTAGCTCGGTCTAATTTTTTCTATACAATTACAATTGGCTGTGTTGAATTGAACTTAGCTATTTGTGACTAAGAACTATCAGATCTTTACAGTAGATTTTATATTCCAGTGTTTATTTTAGTGCTTATATGTTTTATAACTTGCAAAATCACTTTTGTGTCTTCCCACAAAGGTGAGATGAGTTTGCCTTAGACCCCACTCACAGAATCAGAGCTATATTGCATTTTTAAAATAAACCAGATTGTTTCTTGGACTTAAATAATGGGCAAACATTGAATTACTCAGATCAGCTGCAGCACTCCTTGCTCCAGTCTATTCAAATTAAAATGGAAGAAAATCACATTTCCAAGTATTATTAGAAATCTCCATATGGAAGAAGCTATTTAGGAAAAAAAAATATATATATATTATTCTACTTTATTTTTTTTTTATTTATTTCATTTTTTTTTTTACTTAGAGATGTATTAAATATTGCAGACATGGATGATGAGCTCTGAGGCTTGTTTTGGTAGTTGTCTGGTTAAACTGAACAGCAGAAACTTCATGCTGGGTGGACACTGTAATAGAGAATTAAGAAAAAAAGGTGTGAAGCCTAATAAACGTTAGCAAAACTGTGTTTTGCTTGTCAGATGGGAAGGTGCCAATTGGGACACCAAAAGCTTGTAAATGCTTCAGCCACTGTACGTGGATTCTTGCTTTTGGCTTTGTTCTTTATTTGAATATTAATAGTGAAAAGGTAGGAAGCCACCCAGACACCACCTCTTCTTTTCCTTTTATCAATTCATAACCTCTTGATGCTGATTCCTATACCAGCTAGTAGGATTCATAGGCTCTCTCCAGCCATTTTGAGAGAGCTGCATGCCCCTGGAAGAGACATGAGAAATGTCTATTGACAGGACAAGGACAGGATTCAAAGATCTGGTCTGGATTCTCATTTCATGCAGATTTTATCTCTGTATGCCAGAAAAGGAAACCTGATAATCTACTTTTTTCCACGGTGTTGTGAGAGTACATAGGGGGTCCTCAGCTTCATTGAAGCTTTTGGCTTTGATTACAAAATATACATTTTTTAACTATCATTTACCTTCCTCTTGTAAACTGATAGATCTGCAGAGAAAACATCCCTCTAATGTGAATTCCTCCAAAATATTATGCCCTCCCTTCCACTTAGGAAGGAAGGTACTGTTACAACAGGTCTGATAACAGGCTGTGATCGCTTCTGGTCAACCTACTTCTGAAAAATGCTTGTGGTTCTTCCCCTGTGGTGGCAGTTCCCACCTGCTGAAAGCAAATGGACAAAAGCTCATTCTGACAAGGTAGTCTTTCAGGATCCCTGGGAAAAGAAGGATTTTCCTGAACTGAAATTCTCAGAAAGATATTATAAAAAACTAAATTACATTTGTATATAAAACGAAAAAAAAAAAAAGGAACAAAGAAAGGCTCTGCATTGTGGATCTATGTTGTATAAAAAACAATATACTGTATTTAAATGTGTAATTTACATAAATCACAGTATCACAGTATGTTAGAGATTGGAAGGGACCTCAAAAGATCATCTAGTCCAATCCCCCTGCCGGAGCAGGAACACCTAGATAAGGTTTCACAGGAACGTGTCCAAGCGGGTTTTGAATGTCTCCAGAGAAGGAGATTCCACAACCTCCCTGGGCAGCCTGTTCCACTGTTCTGTCACCCTCACTGAGAAGAAGTTTCTTCTCAAGTTTAAGTGGAACCTCTTGTGTTCCAGTTTGTACCCATTTCCCCTTGTTCTATCATTGTTTGCCACTGAGAAGAGCCTGGCTCCATCCTCGTGACAGTCCCCCTTTATATATTAATATGCACTAATAAGGTCACCCCTCAATCTCCTCTTCTCCAAACTATAGAGACCCAGCTCCCTCAGTCTTTCCTCATAAGGGAGATGCTCCACTCCCTTAATCATCTTAGTTGCCCTGCGCTGGACTCTCTCCAGCAGGTCCCTGTCCTTCTTAAACTGAGGGGCCCAGAACTGGACACAGTATTCCAGATGAGGTCTCACCAGGGCAGAGTAGAGGGGAAGGAGGACCTCTCTCGACCTACTAACCACCCCCCTTCTAATACACCCCAGGATGCCATTGGCCTTCTTGGCCACAAGGGCACAGTGTCGGCTTATGGTCACCCTGTCATCCACTAGGACCCCCAGGTCCCTCTCCCCTACACTGCTCTCTAAGAGGTCATTCCCCAACCTATACTGGAACCTGGGGTTGTTCCTGACCAGATGCAGGACTCTACACTTTCCCTTGTTATATTTCGTCAAGTTATTCCCTGCCCAACTCTCCAGCCTGTCCAGGTCTCGCTGGATGGCAGCACAGCCTTCTGGTGTGTTGGCCACCCCTCCCAGCTTAGTGTCATCAGCAAACTTGCTGATAGTACACTCAATTCCCTCATCTAAATCATTGATGAATATATTAAATAATACTGGTCCCAGTACCGACCCTTGAGGCACTCCACTAGATACAGGCCTCAATACTCAAAAGCAGCTCAATATGAGGTGATTTTTCTAATGTTCGTTTCACCTTTTTAATTCAGCAATCACAATTTCTTTTCTCCTTAGTTACCTCAATGACTTGGACAGGTTAGCAATGCCGGACTATGTGCCTAGTGAGCAAGATGTTTTGCACTCCCGAGTGAAAACAACTGGGATTATAGAGACTCAGTTTTCTTTCAAGGATTTGAACTTCAGGTATGAAAGCCATATTTGACAGTTTTCTGTGGTTTTATCTTTCTTGTGTATTTGCAAATATATTGACCTATTATAATATTGGTAATCCCATTGTGACAGCTTTGAATCCACTCTTTGAATATCATGCAATAGCCAAAAAAGCAAGCTATTTTAGTACCAGTACTCCAAACTTAAGTATATAATGGACTGTTATAAAATATCTCAGAATATCAGGTCCTAAGAGGACATTTTTGCATATGTATGTGTCTAAAAAGTATTATTTGTATCCTGCCATTTGAATAATTGTTTGTGACGTTTAGGTAATTTGCCTACCTAAATGCCCTTACCAGCATGCAAAACATTTGATGAGTACTAATTTGCATGCACTCTCCACCTTTCACTCTCTTCTTTTGAGAGTGGAAATAACTGCTCTTAACACCAGAATGCATTACATTTGGCAAAAAAATAATTTCTGTCCTGTGGGAAATTTCAGTGTTACCATTAGAAAAAAATATCTCTAAAGTGATGTCTCTGAGAAATTTGACTGAAAATAATTGACACTTTGAGATACTCAAGATTTTGTTATGCTTGGTGAACCAATTAAAAAACACCTAATTCCACATGAAAATGTATTTGAATAAATTATGATGGTTTGGCATTCTATAATGGTTTTCTTTATGGACTGAATTCTTAATTTAAAATCTTAGTTACATGTTACTGGAATGCTGTCTAGACAAGAAACCATAGCGATAGGCACATTTATAAAGCACCAGGATTATAACTTTTACATTTTTCATTTGGCTTAGGGTTTTTTCCCTCATATGGCAATTAGACATTTCCTAAACCATCTATGGTACCACACAGATGTTTGACACGATGCAGTTTACATATACAAAATAAGATTCTGAAATAGGGGCCTTAGAAATGAATTCTTGTCACCTCAATACACTGATCACTCTGAAAATTCAGCACTTACCTACAAGCGCTACTGTGCAATGTCATAGACATCCTCTTCTTATTCTCTGATTAACGTATTTCCAGACAGCTTTGTACAATGGAAATCTGAGCACCTTCAGTTACAATCATAGTTTATGTAAGAACTAAAATCAGGATGTAGAAAGAAATCGTCGGAGTCATGTCAGGACTCTGATATGAATGCTACGAGTCCTGAGGTTAGATGAGTATTAGAGTCTAGGTCCAACTGAAACACGGCACAACTGAGAATTAAGTTACCCAGGTGTCTTTAAACAAGAGGAAAGCTCTTAATGCCATCACAAACACAAAAACTCTAGCGTGTTTAGACCCTCTGCTATGTGTCACAGTAGTATTATATGAGTAAATCCATTGGTGGTTTTAGGCACTTTAGTAATATGAGGCAGAATCACTACAAAAGTCTGAGGGGTTTTAGCTGCTGTAGGGATGTAGAGTGGCTATAAATCCATCCTAACCAGCCAGTTACTGCTACTTTGCTTTGCCAGAGCAATACAAAACAGCTGGCAACCCTAATGACTCTGCACTTAGTTTGATAAGTACCATAGAAACATTCATAAAGAGAGGAACACTTCCACATTCAGAGTGAGTTTTGGTCGATGTGCTCAGCTGAGGCTTTGGGTCACAAGCTATCCATGGATAAAAGGAAAACATGAACAGATGCCTCATTCACTAAACGCTTGTCCTCTTCTGAACTGAATGAGGCAGAAAACATTTTGTGTCTGTGCAGTAAAAGTCTAAATCCCAGTACTGTAATTCAGGGAACTGAATTGCTGTTGCACAGATAACGTCTCTTGTTATTTGCTGTCTTCTTAGTGGTTACTTTGCTGATTTAGTGTAATTTAGCTTTCATGTGCTCTTTAATATATTTCACTAATGTTGACTTTGATTTACAGATCTCAAAACATACTTAAATAATTTTGAAAGAAAATCTGATCTTCATAGGTCATCTCCTGCTGTCATTTCCATTTATGTGCTAGGAACAGTTTGAAATCTGGCAAGCTTTATTTTAGTCTTTAGGTCTCACTACAATGTACCATTAGGACAAATGAATATACAGCTACTCCCAGGTCTGTAGCTAAGTTTTCCAGGAACAGTGCTGGGAAAATATAGAGACTGTTCTGGTTAAAGAAGAAGATTATCTCAGATAAACATCTACTACTCACAGAGGCACTTCAACTTTACAGGTGCTTATGTTAAACTCTGAACTGATGAGCAAACTAAGGTTAGTATAGCAGAAAATGCCCATCAACATTGCCTCTGGACTTGATCTTCTCCTATTTTAACCGACTTATCATGAATGCTCACAGGGTCATATGCTAAAAGCTTGCAGGAATGAATACAGATTCATACAATTCTGTATGCTTGTGGAACTGTTCTGCAGACTAAATTTTTAAGCTTTTTTTCCCCATAATCTTTATTTCAGAGTTACATGCTACAAATCAAGGACAGCTCCACTTGAGTTGAGCCGAAACTAACTGGGTCGCAGCTAGTTGCACTCAGTTGGCTTTGAACCCCATAGAAAGAGTCCATAAAAAGCTCACATGACTCTACACAAAGGTAGTAATTTCTGGCAGATACTGAAGGAATAATGCAGAGGAGGACAGACATACATTTTCCTCTCTATACACAAAGGGATTCCTGCTCCTGTGAATTGCTGCTTAAACAGCAACTAATGAGATTGACAGAACAGAGACCCCCACACTGCAGGTTATACAGCTAGCTAAGTGACTATGCTAGGGCAATGAGTAAGTGACTTAATATTTATCTACACCAGGGGCAACCTGTAACCAGCTTCCAGATATATGTTTTATTGATCAATGTGTCAGTTCACTGCAAGTAAAACTATAAAGAAATAACTGTGGATTTGAGGGCTTTTTGTCAATGTTTGATGTATGAATTCTGTCCTGAATAAATCCTTGCCTGAATGGCTGAGTCCTTCACTGAGCTCTTATGCAAAGCCCCAGTTCCTCAACATGATGTGTTACCTGGAAGTATTTCCTATATGCAAGTATTTAAGCCTTTATGTTTCATTTTATGTTCACTACAAAGCTGTAAATTATATATAGTACTGCCTGACCTTTTGGAATAGAAACGGGCAATAAACTGGATGTTTGGTTGCAGTTCATCTCTACTTGCACTCTGCATATTAACAACATGACTACATCCTTACAAGTTAGTGCTTTACATTGCACATATGCTACTTTTCTTCAAAGGATGTTTGATGTGGGTGGACAACGATCGGAGAGAAAAAAGTGGATTCATTGCTTTGAGGGAGTTACTTGCATCATATTCTGCGCTGCACTCAGTGCCTATGACATGGTTTTGGTGGAAGATAAAGAAGTGGTGAGTCAGAAGAGACAAGTAACCATTTTTGCTGCTAAGTTTTAATGTACTCTCTGATGGCATATGAGAACTGTTCCTGTTCCCTGATAACCATTTAAAGGCTATTATGCTATATTGGTTATTGGTTCTTATCTGTAAAGAACATTACAGTAAAACCAGACATATGGGGATGAGATTCGTCAGTCTCTCATGTTTACCTTTTGCATCTCAACAGAACAGAATGCATGAGAGCCTTCAGCTGTTCAACAGCATCTGCAACCACAAGTGCTTCGCAGCCACTTCCATTGTGCTGTTTCTAAACAAAAAAGACCTCTTTCAAGAGAAAATAGTGAAAGTTCATCTGAGTATCTGCTTCCCTGAGTATGACGGTAAGTTTGGAATTTTCAGAAGAAAATACATTCAGATGATGAGTGTAGGCCACGCATTAAAGGCTGAGACTTTGACTCAGGTCACCTATATTTAACCATTTAAATACTAAGCATCTTACCTAAGCACCTGGCCTTTCTCTCAAAAGAATGGTAGGTGTCACATGCAGAGAATCCAATTCATCTCACCCACCCATCATGCTTATCCTAGGAAGGGGTCATCTGTCTCTCTGGAGACACTTATTTCTCTCCATTGGCAGTAGAGGAAACTGAAAGAACTAGAAGTTTCAGATAACTGAAGCTAGCCCACATTTCAGCACAAGTCAGTGCTTATGACTCTCAAACCATAACTGAATCCAAGTTTTTTGCTCCTTTTCTGAAAACCCATTCCATAAAGGAAGTCTGCCTCTTTCTGCATGTCACAGTAGTCTCTACTGGAAACAAAACCCAGCAGCTGTTCCCAAATAATGTAAGAGAATACATGAAGCCATGTCAGTAAGTGCCAGAGAAAATCCAAAACCTGTCAGTATTTTAGTACTGACCTAATGTGTTTGGGACAGGGAATGTCCAGACTGAAACATACTTAAAGTGATATTATTAGAAGATGGCTTCTGCTCACTTCCCGGAAACCAGCTCCTTCACTCCCTTTCTCAGGACGTATCAGCACAGCAACCTAAATTCCTCAGTGCTTCACTGAGGTATTCAAACATTATGTCCTAAACTCAGTGGAGCTCACAATTTTGCACTGCCTGAGGCTTCAGACAGGATGGGATCCAACAAGGGCTTTCAGCAGCAGCCTGCCACCAGGACTCAAAGCCTGCTGCAGTCCTGCAGTGATACCAGTGTCCATACCTCCTGCTGTTCTAAAGCAGTGCTACCAACAAGCAGAAAAACTGCATGAGGGACTTGTGACTGAATATAAAAACATGATTTTTTTTCCTTTCTCCTTCATTTATCTCTTCATTTTTGTACCCCCACCAATTTTGTCTGCTATCTGATTTCCTTTGAATTTATGTTCTTTCCTTTTTATTTCTTTTTCTCTCACTTTCTGTTCTCCCTCTTTAACTAATTCACACTGAATGACTCAGGAACATTTCATTTCAGAAATAAGGACTTCTGGTTAGGCACTGATATTTAAATTTAGGTGGCCAGTTTAAATACAAAATTTTCATAGCTACTGCATGAAGTTAATTCGCTTTAGGAAAAAATAATAAGGAAAAGAAAGGGAAAAGAAAACGAAAAACGTTAGAAAAAAGAATTCTTGTTTCCTAGCACCTGTGAGGAAATTCCAATCAAAATGTGTTTTCTCTTTCTTTTACTCTTCTCTCCACTAGGACTAAATACATTCGAAGATGCTGGAAACTACATCAAGAAACAATTTCTAGACCTGAACATACGGAAAGAAGATAAAGAGATATATTCTCACATGACATGTGCCACGGACACCCAAAATGTCAAGTTTGTGTTTGATGCAGTCACAGACATAATAATCAAAGAAAATCTGAAAGACTGTGGGCTTTACTAGCCATTCATTCCCTTGCTTATAGCCTGACTTCATCTCAGTCCACTTTCCTTTCTTCATCGTATGTGCTGACCGAAATAAAACATTCTAGGGAAGAAACAATATCAATTAAGCTTTTGTTAGCTGTCAGTTGAAGACTTGGGTATAGCCTGATCATTGCAATCAACACTGACTTTCTGTATCTCGTAAGACTTAAAAAATGTTTCTGCTCCACAGAGGTCCTAGCCACTGATAAATCCTGCTGGAATCAAAGGGAAATTCATATGTTAACCAATATGATCTTTAAGGAATCAACACTTCTCAGGAAATGGCAGATACTTCAGTATCCTGTATTTTCTAGTGATGGGAGAAGAAAGATAATATATAAGAGAAACTTTACTTTTATTTACATTTGAAACCTTAAGAGAGCTATAGCATTAAACAGTATCAGTGCACCATTTCCATTCAGTACTCTTCTGTTTTCATGTTACATACACAACTAAAAATTACATACCATTAATTCCACAAAGGCAACCCCCCCCAAACTTAACTGGTGTACAACAAAGAGCAGTGCAAATCTGAATGTTTAATCATACTGTTTTGTTAGAAGAGCTGAGAAACATGTACATAAAATCTGCACATGGGTAAAGCTGACAAAGGGTGTTACCCAGTTTGCAGAAAAGAAAACACAGTAAGATGTAGGCAAGTTATCTGATTCCTTAAGGGAAAAACGTGTCATAGTAACCATCATTTCCTGCACAGGCCATAAAGGCAAGTTGAAACATTATTTTTTAACAAGTAAAGGTAATACTTTTTTGTTTTGATAATAATTAACAGCCTTGTTACTGGACAGCTTCTCCAGTGCCCTATGACTGCAACAGTGATTTCTACCAGGCAGAGAAGGTATAAACCCAACAGTCCTCATGGCAAAAACACGTTGTTGGGCCCAAATGGCTCCTAGAGCAAGGGGTAAGCAGCCATCAACAGCTACATCATGATCCTCCCAGCAAAGAGGAGAATAAAACCCTACCATGAATGTTATATTTCTCCCACCAAGTATCTCAGGAGGACAACTTGCTGTCACATCTCTTCTCTAAGACAAAAACCACCAGCATTAACAGCTAGAGGAGCAGTGGAGAGGTAAATGTAGCACCAGAGAAAATGCATTAGAGACTTGGAGGGAGGTTTTATTACAACTTTTAACTATAATATTTTTAATTATATATATTTTTTTAATCTGGTATTTAAACTGCATTTAAACTAACTAATGTCAACTGTTTTCTGTATTTTGGTTATGCAGTCAAATCTTTAAATTACATAAAAAATTAAATTTTGGCTTCTGGTACAAGAAGCCTATAATCATATTTGCCTATAATAAGATGCTTAAGAACAGCATATGTGGCATATATAAATACTCTGGTATAGTAGTGGTATCAAAATGGCAATCTCATTGCTGCCCTTCTACTCCAGAAATGTACACATTCCAGTGGGATAAGATGACAAAAGATTTGCTGTGTTTGACATCACACCTCTTTGTAACTCTTTCTGAGCTTCTCATTTCAAGAACTACAATTCCTATTCTGTAAATCGCATTTCATAGGGTTTTTTCTGGCATTTATTGTGGGTATGGATTCTTCCAGGAAGCACAAGAGAAAGGAATAGATTTATCTCAAAGACCACTATTGCTTTTGCTTACTTTGCAAACTCTTCAACAGGAAGGAATATTCAAAAGCTGGCAGCTGCCAACTGCAATTAAGCTGGATTTAGTTTGCACCATTGTTACAACATTGTACATGTGGTTTTGATAGTCCATGAATGTTTGAATGACCCACCTTTAATTTGAAACTCGCATCCAAAACCTTGCAGAGTGGCTTTACTTCCTATAGCACTGCAAATCCAGTTAAAAGGCTGTGTGATATCATTCTGTTCATGCGTTGAGCTTGTAGTAATGGTGTGTCCCTCTGTTAGATAAAGGGCATGAAACACTGTATATCAACCTGAAACACTGCTAAGAGGTCTTCTATATATGCAAGGACACTAAGGTTTAATTTTTTTATGTCTGATTGATTACTAATGATACCTCAAATTTCAAGAAATGGGGTAGACCTTGACTACTTTCATCTTTCCTGAAATTTAGAAGTTAGAAGTGAAAGATTCATGAGGTCTTACATGGGATGGTACACTTCAGCATCTAGATATCTCTGTAAGCATTCTAGATTTCCCTTTTCTAGGTTTGTTTCAGCTTCTTCCTCTTTTCACTAAGTGTTTCCTTTTAATGCTTTGCTATACATGTTTTCCTGCATCTAATCCCAGGAATCATTCAGACACATTAAGGATCATAGAGTCATAGAATTGTTTGGGTTGGAAGGGATTTTTAAAGATCAGCTAGTTCAACCCTCCCTGCCATGGGCAGGGACACCTTCCACTTGACCGGATTGTTCTTAGCTCCATCCAACCTGGCCTTGAACCCTGGTCTCAGAGTTTGGGTATCCACAACTTCTCTGGGCAACCTGCTTCAGCATTTGATTCCTTTCATCATAAGAAGGGCCAAAAAAATCTTAACTCTGCCCCTGAGAACTGATGATAAGCAAAGTCTTATGAAAGGAAACAAGTAATCCTGCAATGTACTTACTTTTGCGCTGCTTTATCTTTGAAGATGAAAAATTTCCCAAGGGCCTGATTTAGCAAAAACATCATGCATTAAAAAGAACCATTTAAGCAATTGAAACTCCTTAAATTGTGCTGTAGAGCCTCTGCACTGGGGCCAAAATGGCTAGAAAGGCCACTCAAGAAACACCCAAGGAATATTTTTCTCCCTGGTGAGGGCAAGGAGTTTTTCTACTTTGGTGCTCAGAGCAAACGACTGATGTGGAAAGGTCATGCTCCTTCTCAACTCTGAGTCAGCCACTCATTCTAATAAATTAAATTAAAGACTCTGCAGTCCATTATTTCACCCACTGGGACATGTAAATCTTATTAGTGTCAATGAAGGTCGCAAGACACTCAGAAAAGATAATATACCCTCCTTATGATGTCTACCTGTAAGATATACTGCATGTTCTAAACCCACTTTCTATAACATCGTAGAAAACCTGCCATAAATACAGCCAGCCCCTTTCTGTAACATTTTAAAAGCATAGGATGACATATAACTCACAGCATGATGAGCATTGTGAAAGCCTCTTATCTTTGGTACAGTCCATTAAAAACAAAATATAAATTCTGAAGAAGCACATAGGAGGATCCCCTGAGACCTAAGATTCAAGGGCATTTATGTGCTGAGCATGCATTGACCAAATCCGCTAACTGCATTTACCCATGGGTGTAAATCCTGTCCATGTAGGAGCAAGCAGCTGTAAAATGAAATTATATAGCCAGGAGATGCATTCCTATGAGATCTTACTCAAAAGATACAAAACTACAATTTGCTACCTAGCAGCACTGTTCAGTGGCTGGTTTTGTGATAGCAGGCTGTCACAGAGAGGAATGAGATGGACTGATAACTCTGTTCAATTTACGAGGGAAAGAACATAGTAGAGCTGAGGATACTTTTACAAGTTCTGTGCATTGATTGAAGCTGTGCTAAAGAGCTGCAGCTTAGAGGGACATTTATTCTACAAATAGAGATTTGTAGAAAGGAAACCTTAATGTCTCTCTTAAGTGTATCTTTTTCCCCTGTAAAATAGATTGTTAGGTAGTTTGTGAGCTATACCATCTGTACTTACAGGTGCATCACGTCATGCCACTGAGTTTTGATCAGAGCTCACCATGAATTAAAGTTAGTGGATTGTTCTGCTTAACATCAGTAACATGATGTACTATAGGAGATTTCTTTTCCCTGTGTTTACTTTGATCAGACAACTTTTTTTTTCCCTTACTGTGCTATTACCAAAAAGCCAATACAAACCTTGTTTAGGAGTTCTGCTTAAAATTGATGTTCACTTTATTTTGTATTGGTAATAGAACAGCAATTAGCAATTAGTTTGTAGGTTGGCTTGGTGAGATTTTCCACTATTTTTTTATGCATTTGTGAGTGTCAAATTATTTTCTTCTATCTTTTCTTGTTTTTATTTTACATGGGATCAATAATGACCCTTTTGAATAATGTCTTGTTGTTTAGTCTAAGGTGCTTTAATTCAGTGCTTAGAATAAAGAACTGTTAGAAAAAAAACAGGGTTTCTTCCACTGGAAAAAAAAAAAAAGAAAACATTAGTTAAAGACCATAAGTAGATCTCACATGAAACTAAAACGACAGGTAGGTCTTAATAAACTACATCGCACCTCTTCTTTGGAATAAACAATCATTTACTTTAAAGCTCATTTACAGCCAGTGTTTTTCAAATTAGGATTAACCTGAAATTCTAAATAAGTCTCTCTCTGAAAAGCCAGACGGGGTACAGAAAACACTTGTTTAACAATTTTGGAGCTTCACAGAACAGGAGCTAGAGAAACAAGGTGAAGGTGTCCATGCCCAAAGGAAAGGGAATTAAATGAAGGACAGGAACATTTTCAGACTAAATAACACCCATTTTACCCCTTTTAAAACCTTTTTTTGTTTGTTTGTTTAATTTTACATGTTATAACTGAATACCTTCAAGGCTGAGGATATTTTGTTGAAATAAAATATTTTGATAGGTCCCAACTATTTCTCTTCTCATGTGTGAAGAATGACCAGTATCTGTTAAAAACAAAACGACAAAGTTGAAAATTTCAGATTCTTCCCTGATGGCGAATGCCCATTCTCTCAGTAGCTCTAGGCAGAAATATTAATTTTCTCACAGTTGATGCACTTTCAAGAAACGTCTGACTTTGCACCAGCAGAGAGCAGTAGTCCCCCCATCATGAAGGGCTAGACCCTGCAGGAGCTTTGTGGCTTTTGTTTAGTTTATGTATGCGATGGGGCCTATGGTCCAGGTTTGTGCAGGTGATAGTGCTCAGTATTTCACTGTTCTTCTCTATATATTTTTTAGGTTGACAGGAACAGTGAGGAATTCTGCCCACAATATTAGCTTAGACTTATCATCTCTGAGCTCATGAGTATGAAAGGGCTGCTGCTTTCCCCTTTCAGTATTTTATACAGGGTTGCTCTTAACTTCTGTTTACTGAATTTAGGTTTATTAAATTTGCTTCCATAAAACAATGTTTATATACGTATACCTCAATGTTTATATTATAACAAGGTTTCTACCTCTCAAAAAGACTGTTCATGCAAGCAGAAACCTTCTGCTTCCACCAGGCCCCAGTAAATGCTTGTTTACATTATCCCTATCTGTAACAACCAAGCACCCAACTGAGCCCCTGCAGATTTACAACTCCAATGAATCCCTGATGTTGAGATATCAAACATCCACTTGCTAATTGTGACATTAATCTCACACTGTCTGCTGCTGAGATGTTAATGCTGTACTAGTGCCACGTTGCCATTTAAAGTCATTTCATCCTGTAGTGCAAGTCATGTGGTTCTGACTGCTGGTACAGATCCAACAGATGGATGGTGAAGCAGTAGGAGGCAGAAAGCAAAATGCAAACAGACTCACAGCTTTTAAAGTACAGCATATTCAAAGGTTGCCTTTGCTTTTAGATTTCTCAGTTCTTAAGCACACTTAAGCACCAGTGAGAGGTGGCAGCTCTCACTGCAGCATAGTCAGGTAACTCAGACACACACCCAGACCTGGGTGCTGGGGAAATGCTTCTGCCCTGCAGTTTACACAGGGCAAAGGGATTTAGACACAGACAAACAGCTCTTGAAGCAAAATTAACTCCCCTGAGTACAGTGGTGAAGTTCCTTACAAAGTGAGATGGGAGAGTTCAGCAAGTCAGGGTGAGGTAGCAAGAGCCAGCATGCTGCAGGAGCTCAGTGCAGTCAATAGGAAATCCTGCAGAGGAGGTTTTGCTGCAGGGACATTGACTTTTCTAAACATAAGTAAGTAGGAACACAGGCACCTCTTTGAAGCAGAATGTAATGCCAAAGCCAGCCTTGCTTCCTAGGTGACTTTGTGAAGGGGCTTGAGCACTTTGCTAGAAGTACTCAGAACTTGGTAGAATTGGGCCCTGATATGATACTTGCTTCATAAATGGGTTCTTCAACAAGAACAGTGTATAGGATTTGTGAAAATAAGCAAAATTGCCAAAAGTCTAAACGTGCCTCAATATTTACATTTACTTTATGATAATTGAATGTTAAAACCAAATAGCATCCATCTAATGACAAAGAATAGCAACATATCATGGAATTTACTTATACAATCAAAATTAGTTAAAAAGCCACACACTGAGTAGCTACAAAGAGAATACTGAATAAACGTATTATAGAGAACACATTTCTGAGGCAATGGAACATGTGGTAGCTTTAAAGATTATTGCAAGAATATTTTCATAAGCAAAAAGAAAAAAAAT